ATTAAATGAAAATTCTAATACAAATTTTTAGTTTATATGTGTTGAGTGTTACTTCAAAGTCCCACATCGGTGGGATAGGAAAATTGAGAAGGTATTGGAGCCTATAAATAGAGAGGGTGTATAGGCTTCCAACACACAACACAATCCTTCAATCTATATAATTGTGTATTAGATTTTAGGTTGTGAGTGTCAAATATTGGAGAGGGTTTGTAATTTTTCCGTGCAAAAATTACTAGTGAGATTTTATCCCAGAGGGGGTCGTGGAGTAGGTCTTGAGGTGCCGAACCACGTTAAATATTTTGTGTGCTCTTTTTCTTTCCTTTCCATTTGTTTGCAGTAGGGGGCCTAACAATATGTATATACTCCGTATATATTTAAATTGCTTACTTCAACAATAAGATAAATAGAGAATACTTGTTTGTTAATTAGAATATATAATGATGAAGAATTTACCTAAATATTATAAACACATTGTGAATTTTTTTTCAATGTCGTACTATATATTTTATTTTTTTTAATGTAGTATCAATTTTCCATCCAGGGCCCTTTTGAAATACATTAGTACTCCCTCCACTATTTAATAAACTTGTTTCTTTACTTTTTTAGTAGAAAATAATTATGTGGTTTAAAAAACTTCTTAGGCTTATTTGCTTGTTTTGTTTTGCATTTGGTTAACACTGAATTAAGAATTATCTTAAGAGTACTAACTATAATAATTAGATAAGGACCATTTAATATATATACACCATGCATGTTTTCATGCATGCACGTGGCTGTTGCGTGTTGGCATGTCCTAATCCTTGTAGCTGGGTTAAACTAATTCTTGCATTATACTTTCTTCAAATTTATTGTTCCATTATATTTTCTTTATTCAGTATATTATGTATAATATTAGTTTTATTTTTTATCCTCGCACAATTTGAATTTTATGATCTAAGTTTATTACAATTGGACCATTATATATTACTCCCACCATCCCATGAATTTTTTTTCTGTTTGAAACAAAATGTGTCTTTAAAATGAATAATTATCTTAGTGTTATTTTTAATTATGATTCATCTACCCAACACATGTCATCTTACTCTATTATAAAGTTTTGAATTAGTTTTTAAATTTATAAATTTGATTTATTAATTCTACACCAAATCACCAATATAAGCTTTATATAATTTGAATTAAAAACAATTTCATTTAAATATATACGGAGTATTATATTACAGGAATACAAATGATAAAAAAACATTTGAAAAATAATTGATATGGAGTATTATTAATATTTTAATGTTTTTGAATGTCAATAAACAAGTTTTTTCATATATATTTACAATAATTTTAAAGTTGTTACTCGTTAGCCTGTTAGGTACGTGTATTTCTTAAGACAATGTTTTTTTAACGCAACACAAATTTTAATTCTTTACATTAAAAAATTAAAAATAAAATTAAACCACAAAACCCAAAACTGACTATCCACAAAAAGATATACACATCACACATATACACATATTATATACTTGTATATATGTACATATTTTATGTGTTTACACATTACTTTTGTATGTATATAAAAAATGTCTTATATTTTAAAATATCAACCGAGAAACAAGATATTAATATAAAAAAATTAGGAAAACCTATATATAACGGATCGGATATTCGATAAATGGTTATTTAAACGGATGCATATCCAGATTGGATTTTAAATGAATCGGATATACAATTACCAAATCCGTATCCGTTTCCTAAACGAATATCTCTAATCGAATATGGACAATATCCGTTTAAAACGGATGCGGATATTTGATAAACGGTTATTTAAACGGATGTATATTCGGATCGGATTTTAAACAAATCGGACATACAATTACCAAATCTTTATCTGTTAGTAATTGGATATTCTTAATTGAAACGAATAATATTCGTTTAAAACGGATGCTGATATTTCCTCACTAAACGAATGCGGTTACGACGGAAATCAGATTTCGGTTATCCGTTGACAGCCCTAACTTTCCTTATCTATTTTCGTTAGTAATTTGATACAATAAAATATTATTATCACTAGTAGCTTTATAAATCTTTTGATGTAGTATTTTAATATGTAATTTTTATTTTTTAACTATATACTATTTGTCATATAAAATGATTTAAAAATAATTTCAATCAAACAGCGCAAACTGAAACATGCACTATAAATTGGGATGGATGGAGTATTTTTTAATTATAATATATATATATATATATATATATATATATATATATATATATATATATATATATATATATATATATATATATATATATATATATATATATATATATATATATATATATATATATATATATATATATATATATATATATATAATAT